TAGAAGAGACTTTGTGAAATAGGACTCTGCAATTAATTGAATTTCAATCAAGATTACAGTTATTGCGCCAATAAATTACAAAAAAGGCACAGGAAAAGAAAGTAATTTGCTCTCTTGAACATGGGTACTTGTCTAATCTACAGTACAATCTTTACTAATCAATGATCTATATTCTATTTGATAACCTTTGACAACATAAACATTGCTTCATATAATCTTCATTTAATTTACTTGTGACTATGATTTGTTTCCCTTTTTCTAAATACATGGTTTATCCCATAGTTTTCCTTTTGTTATTTGGTCAGAAATGATTTGGCAGTGATTTTACACCTGATGCCCTTCCTGTCTTTAATAGGAGATCAATAACAGTATGTAGAGTAAGTGCTCAAGTCTGGAAACACTGCAGTAAGCTTTATTTTGCTATTTCATTAATTATTTAAATCAGGGTTGCTAAAGGTATTGAAAATCAGATACAAATTGAGTAAAGCGAGTGTAAGACCACATAGTAAAAAAATAAAGAAAGTACTATTATTTTGTATCGAAAGAAAACTCTATGGCCTGTTTTTAAATTGTCTTTATGGGATCGAAACTGTATTTAATATCAAGTCTATTCCTTAGTATCAAAATTTAGTGAAGTTTTTGTATCGTAACATTATTCAGCACAGGAATTTGCAAAAAACTTAACTCTGGCCACTGAACTAAGTGCAAGCAAGGATACAGAAATGCAAAGTGTACTTTAGTAATGGCCATGTTCCTTCAATTAATCTTATAGAATAAATACTGTCTTTTTAAGTAACTTATTTTTCCCTCTAGACTAACTAATGCAGGCTTGTCTTGTAATGATGTACTGTATATAAACTTAAAGCTCCCACTCATGTCTTTTAACTGCTATGTTTCCATTATGGGCTTCCCCGGCCACACATTACCCCATCACCGCGCAAAGGAAGTGGTCATTGACATGCAACACAAATGGCAGCTGTGTACAGCGAGCTAAAGGATCGTCACCCTTCGAATCCTCCACGCTCCTCACACGTACACATTTGCACAGAGGAAGTGGTGTCTTCTTCTCCTGTTTTGCACACACGCAACCTCCCTCTCACCCCCAAACCCCAGCCCCCTCCCTTCCCCCGCGCCCTGCTTCATTCACACGCTACTCTCACACTCACAACCACCGCTGCTCGTCTGGGGCTCTCTGGCACGCACACATCCACACGCGCGCTCAGAAACAATGGGTGCACACCATCAGTTAGTCTCCAGCTGCAGGCCAAAAGCAAACAAGGTGTCCCCAGCTCGGTCTCTCACGAAAGCATGTGTTTAAGGGGGATATACACTACCATAAGTTTGAAAACACCTTCTCATTCAATGTTTTCTTTAGCTTTATACACTGTAGATATATACTGAAGACTTTGAATATATGCAGCGTGCAGATGTATGGAGTTATGGAGGAAACTCTAAACATGTTTTATATTTTAGATGCCTCACAATGGCCACCCTTTGCTTTGCTGATAGTGCTGCAAACCCTTGGCCTTTTCTCAGTGAGTTTCATGATGAAGTCTCCTGAAATGGTTTTCACTTTTCACAGGGGAAACTTGTCTGGATTCATTAGTGGAATGACAATAGTATGCATATTATTGATTAAACCAAAGGGTGGCTGTTTTGAATCTAAATTATGAAACATGTTTTGAGTTATTTCAGATGTTTTTTTGTTGTTGTTGTTGTTTAGCACGTGCCTTATGTGTTCATTAATTCATACTAAGACTGTGCAATGAATCGAATTTTGATCACAATATCAATTTTGTATGTTAAACGAACTCCAAACTCACATAATCAAGTTGAAATGAAGTTTAACAAAGCTTATTTTGGGATATTTTTAATATAAATGACTATATTTAATTTATTTTTAATATAGAGATTGTAGAACAGCTGGGTATATAGTTTATTTTGGATACATTTATGTTTCTCTATGAATTATTTCATGTTCAAAGTACATTCTATTCATTTTATGTTTTATGCATTGCACAACTGTTCTAATTTACATAACTGTAGCCTATATTTACTTTCAATTTGGAAGTTTTGTGTAAATTATCAAGAACAAAGTGGGTTTTTGAGAGAGAATTGCTGAAGAGAGAATTGCTGAATAAATGCATTGTGTAACAAAAAAAATATCGTTTGAATAACCGTGATATTGACCAAAATAATAATATTGACCAAAATAATCATGATAATGATTTTTTTCTATGATCGAGCAGCCCTAATTCATAGTTGTGATGAGTCTACCATGTAAATATTAATGAAAACAAAGAAAGAAAGAAATAACATGGCATGAAAAAATGTGTCCACACTGCTGTATTGCTGAAGAAAACATAGACAAACTGACAGAATATAACCCTAATGAATTGTTATCCCCCTAAAAAGTATTTTCAGTGTAATGTAAAATAGACATGAACTGCAATAAATGAACAGCAGAATAAAACACGATCTAATGAGTCATACACGTTCTGTATTCAACCCCTTTGACCTCAAATCTTATGTAGTACAGATAAATAACTTTTTAATATATAATTATGTTTTTTTGTTCTTCCTTCTACCGTTTATTGATCAATATAATAGTTGATATAGTAGTTCTCGACACAGGCCAACCCACTTCCAAGACACGTCCCTGCTGTGACCCCTAATGACAGTTTTACAGTTACACATATTTTCTTTTACAGTGGAAGGATGTGACATGCAAACCATTAACTCTGCTGTCATGGCTACGGCCCATGACAAAAATGGCTCTTTGCACAACACACAGTGAGCACAAGTTGCGTGACCTTCAGTGCATTTTTGGAAGTAAAAGTGCAATGCAGTGCAGAATGTACAGCCACAAAACCAAGGTTACACTTTCCCCTTCACAGCCTTTAAAACAAAACTGTCACAGATCTGAACTCTAATTTAGTTTTCATCTACTCTACATAATGCTATTTCATGTTTTTGAGGTTAAGATTGTGAATGTTTTACTGTCTGCAAATACTTCAGTGTCAGTGAAACTATTCTGTTGATTACAGAGCTAAAGACTGGATTCCATGTTTTGGTTATGTGTTTTTAATCTTTCCTGTTTACATCAAATACATTGAAAACGCTTTTATTGTAGTCAGGGCTGCATAATTTCTTATTTTATTTTTACCAGACATAAAATTCAACATAAAACAAACCGCTTAGGTCCCTAAACGTATCTCACCACTACAGGCCACTTTCAGATGGTGAGCTGACTGAACTGAAAGTAAAATTCAAGTGCGTCTTGTTCTTAAAAATATGGGGAACATGAATAAATAAGTGTACTTAAATGTTATTCGTAAAGCACAGTGGACTATTAGCATATATTTTTCTAAAACCTCAAAGACATGTGCTGATACAGATATATTTTAGCTATGGGCAACTTTCAAGTGAGAAGTTAAAAGCTCTTCCCATGTGAATCTTATTACATTCACATTCCAGTCAAGGATAACTACTGGTATGTTTTGAAGAAGTTAAAGAACATGTATTATGCAAATCTGACTTTTTGACCTTTTAACTGTTATATTCATTAGTACTTTATTATAGACATGCTCTAGAATTTTGGTAATTTAGTTTTGTCCTAAATAAAACTCCAGACTCATTTGTCCATAAACCATCAGCGGGTTGATTTCATGGTCAAATTGTGTTCACAAAGAATGCATGGTTCTATTAGTGTAGTGTTTGTTTACTCTCTGATTGCTCACTCGTGTTGACAGCAGAGGGAGCTCCAGGGCCTACATGCCTCATTAGAAATGGAGGTGAAGTTTAGAAAGTACATTTTCCAAAAGCAGGCTTTACTTTAAGTTACAAAATGTGCACTGCTTATCTTAAAGTGACCAAAAGTGTGTTTAAAAGGGAGTTAAAGACAGAAGAATGCATAATATGTGTTCTTTAAGGCTTGATTTTCAAATGTGATAAGAGGCAGTAGGTATTAAAATTTATCTAACTTGTTCTTACCTTTCAGAAGCCCTTTGGCGCATCTATAGTTTTCACACAGATTCGTTTTAGGCAGCATGCATAACTTGAGAACAACTTTTTCATCTCAAAACTATAGTGAAGGCTCTTCCAGGTCTGCAATTGAAAATATCTTTTACAGTTGATACCACAAAAGTCACAGTCACACTCCCCTTTTTTAGTGAAAATCAAACACCCAAACAGAAATAAAAATAACAGTATTCATCACAGGCTCCTGAAAATGTGTTGTTTAAATCCATTTTGTATTTTTCGGAGTTTTCAGACCATTTAAAAATGAAGATATGTCACAGAAAAGTATCAAAACTTATGAGTAGATGGTGCAGTAGAGCCATCAGATTTTGTCACTAAGTACTGCTTACCTAGTCTGATTCATTAGCCAGTTTCACTTTGTAGAAACCGCCTGACCTCACAGCGTTAGAATTTGTTCGCTTGACGGTAGGCCGTATCGCTGCTATTTGGTCATGACGTATGTAATGCACCACTAACGGGGCTAAATGCTATAATAAGCTTTTCCCAAATCCCATAGGAAGAAGGACAATAACGTCTTTGATCAAATTCACCAAACCAATCTCTTTGTTCCAGCTTTAAATCCTCAATCTTGGAAATCGTTGCCAACACAGAATGTGTGGCTCTTCGCTGATTGGCTGGTGCCCAGACCGCACCTTCAGGGTTTTTGTGAACCGTCTAGTGTATTCCGATTCCTGACCTAGTCGCTGGAGAGAAATGAAATAGAGCGGAGGCACTAGGTGGCACCAACCTGGCTACTGCTTACCAGGCTCATTGACAGAAATTTGGGGGCTTGGGACAAAAAGCCTTACGTGTGGCCAACCTCTAATATAAATTAATAAGAAGAGGGTCAAATTCTGGGCCCCTGAAAACCCTGGGGCCCAATATTGTCTATAAAGAAAAAAAAACCTAAATCAAATCATTTACAATAATAAATTTGCACAGTTTTAATGTGTAAATTTTTCCGTATACTTTTACTGTAGCTGAGGGAAGCTCTGGAGAAGCAGCAGTTGGAGCATGAGACCCAGCTCCAGCAGCAGATGTCTGAGGTCCGCCGGGAGTCCAGTCTGGAGCTGAGCATCCACTCAGAGAAGAACCGCACACTACTTTTGCAGTATCAGCGCGACTCAGCCCGGCTACAACAGAAGGTCAGTCCATCGATTTTCATTTGAAGAGTGCTTTCCCATTCTGACCTCTTATGTGTGCCATTTGAGACAGTATAGTTTGATGCTCAGCCATGCGCTTTGAAGTAATGGTTTTCTGCAGCAACCATTCTTTGAGCAGTGTTCCCAGAGAATGCACTTGCTGTATATTTTTGTCCGTGTTGGGTTTACAAACGCAGTAAGTATCTCTATGCTTTGACCTCAGCTCCGGCAGCTCCAGTGTAAACAGCCTCATGGTGACCCAGTGAGACACAAACATACATTCTGTGGTGGGGATGGAGGACAGTGAGGATGAGATCAGAGAAAACAAAGAATGACTTCCAGATTACATTTGGTACTAATACAATGATACCCGTGCTTACTAAACAGCTGCGTGAAGAGTTAATGAAATTTGTCTTTTAATCAGTTTACATTCCCCAGTCTGTTTTTTGGCTAGAACTATTTCTTTAAAAAATTTTAACAGAACTTTTTTAACACATATTGTGCAAAATTAACTTTTTGAGCATTTAACCATGTTAGAATATTGTTCTCTTATTAAAAACATACCTGGAGCTGTATTTCACTTCATTTACTCTATTTTCAGTATTGCTCTGAAGTCTTTTGCCTCTGAGCCTCACTAAACACTGTTTGAGATTCCCAGAAATGTGACGTCACAGAAGAGAGAGCCTGTCCATGAAGTCTATAATTCATTGGCAGACTTTTTCTAAGCATTTGCAATTACACTAACGTTTCCTGACATGTTCCTCATTACCTAATTTAATTGTTTTCACTGTGGTAATTCCCTCTGCTGCCAGTAGATGGCAATCTGCACCAGATCAGAGCTGCAAAATTATGTTTTTCTTTATTTTTTTGCCATTATTTCAAGTTCTGAATGACATTCCAAAGCAAAGGTACTCAAGACTATGTTTAAAGGTCAATAACAGTACAGTTAATGCATAATACATAATATTTGTTCTTTAAAGGTCAAATATTATGCTAAGCTGACATTCTGACCATATAACCATGAAGCAGTACATGGCACAGAGCAGTGTAGAGGAAAAACTTAATTTTTGGAGCAGTTGCATCTTGACTACAGGAGAATAAATATTACTGAAACATGGTTGAATCAGTCTAAATACAACTTTGAGTGGGCAGATTAGAAGGGAAACTATTAGAATATGGTTAAAAGTTGATTTTGCATAATACATCTCCTTTATGTTCCAACACTCATTTAAATTTTACACACTTTTCACTATGGCAGACCAGAAACTAGCAGCCATTGTTTACAGCCTAATTTAACCATCGTCCACATCACTACTCTGGCAGAATTACTTGTTTTCATCACATTACATTTCAGTTCATTATACATTAACTACACCTTGTTCTTTCATTACCACAGTGACATTACTACATCATAATTTTGTTCTTGTTGGTTACAGTTGACTGAGCGGGACCAACAGGTGGAAAGGCTTCAGGCGGAGCTAGAGGAGGAGAGGAGGAGCGCAGAGGAGCAGAGGAGGTCTGAGGAGCAGCAGAGCAGGAGACGAGAGGAGGAGGTCCAGGAGGAGAGGGATTCGTGGAGACAGCAGCTGCACGAGGCTCAGACCGAACTGCAAACCATGACCGAGAGCAACAGACTCCTGCAACAAGAGGTGGGCTCAAAATACTACACTAACACAAGAATAGGAAGCAGAACGAGTTAGTACTACGGCTCAACAGTGTCTCCATGGAGATTATATTACTGTCCCTAGAATGTTCCACAGTATGGCATTAAATGTATCAGGTAGGTAACACAGTTAGACCAAGTTACAGGACAAATCCATTGAGAGGTGACCCATTTTACAGTGAAAATTAATGTTTTTCAAGGGTTATATTAAAACAAAAACACCTGTAAATGATAAAAAATTTAAAAAGATCAGTTTAAAGGGCCAATATTACACTATTTTCTGATCTATGTTGTTTCCTCATCAAAAACATACCTTGAGTTGTGTTTTGTTTCATTTAGACATGTTTAACACACAAACCCTGCTGATTTAGGCTGAGTTCTCTTTTACTGTATGATGTCATGTGGTAATACAGGAAGTGCTCCACTGTGTTTATAAACTCCATACACCTTCACTAGACTCATCGAATGATTTCACCCCTGGAATTCAACTCCAAAATCCAAATCCACTTTATTTATATAGCACATTTTACAAGCAAAGCAGTTTCCAAAGTGCTGCACAGAGATCATAAAACGAAGACAACAAATAGGTAAATTGTTAAAATTGCCAATCTCTACTAAATAAAAGGTAAAAGGAGCTGCTGATATGACATCACAAGGTGGAACAGAGCATTTAGAGCTTTGGAGATAGACAGACTAAATGAAACAAAACACAACTCCACATACGTTTTAAGGAGGTAACAAGATTATAACATTGCTTAAAGCTCACAAGGATCAATTTTGTGTAATATAGGACCTTTAATGCCTAACTGTGGAGCATTCCTGGCAAACCAAGCAGATGGAGAAGTTGTTAAATGTTTTGGAAATCAGCTATTTTCATATACTGTATTTCAACTAATGTGTTTACTGTTTATTTATTGAAATATTTCGTTTTTGGCAGCCAAGCCTTCGTGACTTGGTGCATTGCCTATCTCTGCAGTGGTCTGTGATTCCTCCAAAAAAAAAAAAAGAAAGAAAGAAAAGAAGAAAGAAAACAAAACAAAAGAAAAAATCCTCAAAACAGTCACACAATTGCACAAAAATTACAACAATATTATTCTGATCATTCACTATCAGGCAGTAATTCTCCCCATTGTCAATCATTTATTTGTTTTTGGCTGTCCCCGTTTCAAAACTGCAGTTTCCTTGAAAGACCCTAAGAATAAAAAAAACATCTGAAGAATTGCCTCGCAGTTAAAACAATCCAGTTCTCCAAAACGATTTTCCTCCCTCATTTTTGCTCTCTATATTCCACTGGTATGTCAATGCTATCCAAACAAAAGTGGATTAAATTTAGTCGGACGTACAATGTGGTAGGAAGTGACTGGAAAAGACGGACAGCTCTTATTTGCTTTGGCAGCCGAGTGTGCCGTGATTGATTCCTGTGCCAGATTGGACTAAAAGGGACCTGGGCAGATAAAAGAGAGAGGAGACAGGAGACGCGTGCGCTGCGATGCTCTTATAAGGAGTGAGGAGGAAGTGTGTGCGTGCTGTCAACTGGGAACGGAACACTGACTGAGCTAAAGTCATTTCGAAACCGACACAGGAAGCACAGTGGGCATATTGAGAGCCTTGTTATGGATGTGTTACCAAGGAGAAGTGGGTGGGTGACTAACTGGTTTAAAATGAGGAGATCAATTTAGCTTAAGCAGCAGATAAGACACATTCCAGGAATTTTTTTTCTCACTAGACAAATGATATGATTACTAGGACGTTCAGTGTCAGTTTTCTGCTACTGGTGAACCCTTTTCCTACATCAGGAAAATGTCCTTTTAACCCAAGCAGTGATTTGAGGTGTAGTTTATAGAGTGTGTTTCTCTAAGTGTAGATATTATTTGAAGTTAGAAAATCCCAAGGTGACCAAAAGTGCCTGTTTAAAAGGAACTAAGGTCAGTTAACCAGCCCTAGGGCAGCTGTAATAGTAGTAACTCACCACCAATGAGTACAGTGAGTCAATGATTGTTTACTGTAGTATTTTGTGATTGGTATTAAAGGGATTTTTTTTCATGTAAGAAAGCTGAATTTGTCTGGCTCCGGGCCAGTGCAGATATATTGTAAAAGCAGCTACTGTATTTGGGTCAAAATGAGAGTGCTGTGTGCTGTCAGCATCTAAACCTGTTGGTATCCTCCGCAAACTAGGAACTGAGTTGTTTGCTAGCGTGTTGCTGCCTCCAGTTGGCGTAGTGGCCACTCACTGGTACTTCAGAGAAAAAATCCTTCCGGCCGAGAGGGTTTTTCTCATAGAGCGCAATGTAATCACAAACTGCTTGTTTTTCTCAGCTCAAAATCCTTCAGTTGTCTCAAAAACACTTTTTGATTGTTAGCTCTGGCTCCACTCTGCAACACTTTAGCTCCTCTCGCTCTGATTGGTCAAAGCGATCAGGTGATACACAAGACCGCGCTCCGTGCGTGCGCTCACGTACATTCATATGAATTCTCGTGTGCCTGCGGTAGAAAAGAACACTACTGCACAAGTTCAATCGGCCCGGAGCCATCGGAAGTACCTCGCCAGGCCTAAGGCGAATCTGGAGACATGAGCCATTGAGCTCAGCCCATTGACTTGAATGGACGGCCATTTTGAGATCCCCGGGCTTGGCTTGTTGTTTTTAGCATTATTGGCACAACAAAACTCCACTCTGGCCTCTTACAGTTGAGGAAGAACATGTATACTTGAATAGTTTGGAAGCTATGGATTACATTATGAAAGCATTAGAAAAGTAAGGAATTACTTTTGGACCACTACAAACTGTTTAAAATAAACTAGTTCTGTTTTTCACATTTTTAAGATGGTAAAAATCAGGTACAGGGCCATTAATATAACATTTTTTTAAATTTTATCAAACTTTTTTTTGATGAACGAAACAAATACAATTTTGCATGGTGAATTACATGAAATCATCAAAATTACAGACGGATGTCATATCCCCAAAACAACTGAAAGAAACCCTAACCCTTTTAGTTCCTCTCTCTTGTCAATCCAGAGTTTACTCTTATGTAATTTAATACAAGAAATAAGTCAAAGTCTCTGCCCTCTTCTTGTGTGTCTTGTGCTAACCTTCTGTCACTGGGATCACATCTCTCTCCTCCTCCTTCACCGAGGACCACACACTCACTACGTTTACACACACAGAGAACTCCCAGTGCACTAAAGAACCAGATTCAAATCGTCTCTGCCCCAAAACCTGTCAGACCACTGTTGTCCCAGTCTACAAGCAGATCAAAGAAACAAATTGGTGAGAACGAGGAGCTAACACAGAGTAATTTTGATATAATTGCTAATGAAAATGGCCATCATACATATCCAATCCACTTTATTTATATAGCACATTTCATAAACAAAATAGTTTCCAAAGTGCTGCACAATACACAGTGGAAATATAAAATAAAGCTCTATTTAACTCCACCAGGCCTTGTTAAGACAATAAAATGAGTAAAATCAAATAAGAGCAAAAATACCAATAAATAATAAAAAGGTAAAAACTATAAGAATAAAAAATATATGATATAATCACACAAACAGGCATAGATAAGCAGCGTCTCATTAGCGTTGAGCATTTGATTTTCAGTCATGTAGGAGCAGTGTTACTCACAAGTTATTTTCTCTCCGTTTCACTAATAAACACATCTAAGCTCTGGTAGTTTTTACTTTCACTTTAAAGGTGCATCCGTCATATGTTTTCCTCCATGGAGATGTTATTGCTGTGTCTGAAATATTTCACACTATGGCATTAAACCTTTCTATCATCCTGGAACCAAAACAGGCTAAGTTACTGGTTCGATCCGTGGACTGGCAACCCTGCTCACAGTCAAAATGCCTGTTTTTGAAGGTATTTTTGAGCAATTAAACCACCTTTAATTAAATAAATGTAAGGTAGATGTGTTTAATGTCATAGTGTGAAACATTCCAAGCAGAGCAATGACATATCCATAGAAACAAGAAGGTGATGGACCCTCCGCCGAAAAGTTACATAGTGCACCTTTAACATACCTTTTTATCTAAAACATGAGTACTAGGCCTGTCACCATAATTATTATATTGATTTATCATTCAATACGTGATAGATGAACAATCATTTTTGGTTATTTTTCTGTTCTACGATGAGATTTGAGCTGCAGAAGGTTGAATTTTAAACTTCTATATACAAATTAGCTATAAGCCTTACATTCTGTCATTTATTTATTGCAGTTCATATTTTTTAACAGTGTTGTACATTTAGAATAGTTGTTTTGGTTTCAGTATTATCATTTATCATCTATATTTACTTCAGCAATATATCAAACTTACAATGTGTTATCTCCACAAGCCTGGTGAGTACTCGTCCAAAAACAAGTCTAATATTCTCTTGGCTGTTTCTTACCCCCTGCAGTTGAATGCATCTCCTAGTTACTTAATGGCTTTTCCGGATTTGTTAATGGGTTCCTTGAAATGTGAACCGCAACATTAACACATTTACACAATCGTCCATCCATTCATGTTCTTCCGCTTATCCGGGGCCGGGTCGCTGGGGCAGCAGTCTAAGCAGGGACTCCCACACTTCCTTCACCCCAGACCACCATGCCAAGTAAGGGTAATTTCAAGGTTGTATGGAGGATTTTTTTTTTTTAGTTTCAAATTGTCAATGAAAGTTTAAAATACCATTACAGAGAAGCAGCAGCCTTGTAATTATGATGACCAAAAAAAAAAAAAGAATGAAAATCTTTCAACTGTGGACATAGTGAGGCCAGATAAACATCAACCAATAGATAACGAGGCTCCCTCATTTTCTATTGGCTGTTAGGTTGTCAATCAAACTCCCTATGTTTCTAGTGTAACTGACTCACCGGCGCGCGGGGATTACGTGGTTTATGAAGCGGTTCTCAGAGGCTTTTTCAAACTGTAGCTTCCTCGCAATTCGCACAAAGTTTGTTGCGATGGCGGACGAGAATCCACGACCAGTTCGCCGCAAAAGA